AGGTCAGGTGCTAGTGAGAGCTCCCTTCCTGGCTTGTAGATGGCTGTCTTCTCACTGCACCCTCACATGGCCTTTCCTCAGTGGGTGCTCACAGAGAGAGACACGGAGAGACAGAGGGATTTCTCTCTCTTCCTCTTCTTATAAGGGCACGAATTCCATCATATGGGCCCCACCCTCATGACCTATCTAACCCTAATTCCTCCCAAAGGCCCCATCTCCAGATACTGTCACATTGCAGGGGGGAGGGGGGAGGGGGAGGGGGAAGGGCTTCAACATCTGAATGGTGAGGGGCACAAACATTCAGCCCCTAAAACCCTCACACAGGGTTAAGTTACCTTCATTGCTTCACCACAATTCTAAATAGCTGCAAAAGTTGTCACTTCAATCGTATCCATAAATGTTGACTTTTACAACAAAACGATTAAACCACGCTTTTCAATGTATCCCATGTCATATAAACACCAGAGCAACTGCAGGATCTTAGTTCCCTGACCAGGGACTGAATCCAGGCCCCAGCAGTGAAAGCGCCGAGTCCTAACCACTGGACCGTCAGGGAATTCCCACCATCATTCATTCAAAAATTACTTGAGAAGAGTTCTCATTAGGTTGGAAATTTTCTATTATCTCTCTCTCTTTTTTTTCAAAACTGTATTTCCATTCTATCTCAATATATTAGACCTTTATGTTCAGAAGTAGTGAATTACCTTATCCTACTTTTCCGGAACACAGACTTTGTGTAGAAATTGAAATTTAATTGCTTATGCTTTGCTCCAAGTGTAAAAAAAAAAAAAAAAATCCCTTCTGGGTCGAGCCACTATCCCTACTACTGTAAGTAATTGTTCAGAATCAAACAACATATATTATCAATTTTGACAAATTATTATTAAGCACAAGGTAACTTTCTTGGAAATGCATCTTTAACAAGATGCACTTGGGAGATGGGACATATTGACTTGAAGAAAGGAGCTTTCCCTGACATAATATTTTGACCTTCCCCCCAGAGGTGTTTACAGCTAGAGCAGGGCACCCTAGTGAGATCTTGGCTCTGACTAAGCAAGAGAAGGCCCACCAGGCAGGAATAAAGGAACAACGGGCCTGCCCCATGCTGGATTCTCAGACAAATCAGCTTCAGGAAAGAGCTGATGTTCTGAAAAGTGATTCCCCCCAAACTGTGCCTCAGAACAGATCTTCCCATTGGGAAATCTTCAAATTCTCCCCAAAACATGCATTTCTGTTTCCCTCAAACCATCAGATGTCAGGGTTGGGGGAAATCCTGTAAACCTCAAGATAAACCCAGCACCTCCACCTCGAGAGTCAGGATTCCTAGAGGGAAGAGTCTGTGAAGTTCCGTGCTGTCCGGAGAAACAGATATTAACGTTTTAAAGCGAGAGTTTGGGTTCATCGAATACTCATGGTAAGACAGGCACGAGGTGCCGAGACAGGGAAGGAGGAGAGCGGGCGGTGGGCAGGCTGTCCAGGCCTCCCTACGAGCCCCTCCAGGGCTCCCCCTCTTCCTTGGCTGCTCTCAAGACCCAGCCCTTAGAAGCGGGCTTATACTTCCCTGAGCTCCAGACAAGATTCCTTTCAGTCTACTTAGCCCAAGTTGAAGTTCTCACGGGCTGGTAAATGCAGGGAGCTTATTTGCAAGCCAGGGTCATATCTGCCTAGCAACCCAACATGCAGACTAGAAGGACTCGGAATGTCGACAGAGACCCAGCAGGCCAAGTCTGCACAAAGGAATCTGTTCTCATGCAAATGAGCCAAAACAGGAGGGCTAGAAAAGAGACAGCAGTGGGGACAGCTCTCGGGAGCCAATGCATTTCCAGAGATGTTGTGGGACTTTCTAAAGGCATCATTATAGCCTTGCCCCCTGTAAACGAAGGGCCCTAGGGGCTCTGCCGCCACTTGGGTTGCAACAGACACAACAGAAGAGGCTAAGAGGGGCGCTGAACCCTGAACTTAATTTCCTGATTTTTCTGGTTCTGTACTCCAGGTTCTAAAGGTCCTTTTGTTCATATTTAGAACTAAACAGAGTTAGTTTTGTTTTTCTTTTTTTTTTGGGGGGGGGTAATTGATTAGCATGGTAATGCAGTGCTTTCCCTCCTTTGCTTTCCCTGGAAGAGAGAGAAAAACAGGGGTTTTCACACTTGGTCTCACTAGGATTCAGGGAACAAGGTGAAGCCAGCCTCTAATCATGGTGGGCAAATGTCACCAGTTTGTGGCTGGCAAGACTGGACAGGGGTTGGGTTTCCGGACACCTTTTGCTGTTATCCGAGCACAGGTGGCAAATGTTATACTTGGAAGCGCTCTCAGTTGCAAAAAGAGCCAGTGTGTCTAAACCTTGGGGAAAATCCCTTCCGTGCTCTGTGCCTCAACTTTTCTCATCTGTAAAATGGAGATGAGTGTCAACTGTAGAAGGTTGCTGATGGGCTTAAAATTAGATCACATGAACCACACCTAATACAGGGAACAAAGCAAAAGTGAAAAAAAAATACTAATAGGTATAATTAATATTAACAAAATAGCATTACATTATTATTGTTATCATCATTACAGTCATATGCTCCTCCAACAGCTAGCCATCTCACCTGGTCATACACTCAGATGTGACCTTCCCAAACGTTCATTCACCCCTAGGGCTTTCTGCATTATTTGCCTAATTTTTAAAACCAAGAAGCTGAAGCACCAAGATCTTTGGTGACTTGCTTGGAGTCACTCAGCTATAGTTAATGGGCTGCACCCCTAGGTTCCTAAGCAGGTCTCAACACAGTATGTGCTGTGTCATGTTAAATATGACATTTCCACACTCAGCAGGGACAGGTCCCAAGGCACCGTAAGGTCCTAAACTATATTTACAGGCATTCCTATTTTAGCATCAAGTGCTTTCATGCCGGTGGTTAAAGTCACATTCTAAATTTCATAACGTGTGGAGTCCTGGAAGAACAGCTCGAAAAAGGACCGCGTGCAGGATGTGTGCTGCAGTCAGCTGTTGGACTTGGAAAGCCACAAACAGCAGTAACAGTAAGAGCTACTGGCTAGTGAGGGCGTACCATACATAACGCCAGTCGCTGTGATCCGTCCTTCACCGGCATCATCAATTAGATCCTTTGATTCTGGGAATATCATGATTGTCCCCAGGAAGCTAGGTCACTCGGGCAAAGTTGCGAAGCTCATCAGTGGCCCCCGGCTGTACCGTCCCGGTCGTAAGCAGGCACTCTGCGCCAACACACCTGCTCCCCGAACCCACGCCAGAGCTTGTTAACAGCACAAAATGGCACTTAACCCAGTAGACCCGATGCCAAAATCACGGGAGAAATCAGGCAGCGACCGCAAAGGGCTTTTTATTACGATTCAGACCGCCGACTCCTCCCGGTGGCGACCCTAGGTACACGCACCCCCAAAGTAGGCTCTCCCGAGTTTCTCACATCAGAAGCACATTCTGCGAACCCAATGCAGGGAGCGGCTGGTGCCAGAGTCGGCAGGGGGACGCGGAGAATAAGGCATTCTGCTTCCGAGCAGTTCTCAAAGAGGCTCTGGGGACGTGAGGTGGACACCAGGCGGCCGAGTCTGTGCCCCCGCGGGCTCCGAAACGCCTGGGACCCAACACACGGCTTTGTCCCCGTGACGAGCTCCTTACTGAGGTTCCCGAGCATCATCTGCTGAGCCCCCTGTGACCCTGGGGTCCGGGACTCAGGGATGAGGGGCACGCAACCCCTCGACGTCCGGGTCCCTCGCCCACCGGAGCTCCCCGCGAGTTCTGCGGCCTGGCACCTGTGTGGACGTCGCCTCCCGCTTGGCGGGGAGGATGCGCGCGCGCCCCGGGCCGGGGATGCTGACTCAGCCCGGCTGCTCGCCCACATCCCTCGCGCGCAACGCGATGCTGTCGCTTCTGCAGCAAAGGGGGGAAAGCAAAGCGCCCGTGACGGCCGGCCGCGAGCTTCCTGGGGCCCGCACACCGCCCCCCCAGGGGAACCGCTGGGGTGCGCGAGTTGACGAAATCGGGGGAAGCGGGCATGAGAGGACGAACTCGGGGTCCGCGGCGCCGCGCGCGCAGCTCACACCCGAACTGGAAGGAACCTGTTCTGCCCGGGGCGGGCGCGGAGCCGCCGCAGCCGGGAGCCCAAGCCCTCCGGGCGCGGGCGGGGCCGGCGGGAAGGGAGGCGGCCCGGGGACCCCGCACGTCCGGCCGAACGTGTCCGCAGAGTGGGTGCCGGCGCGCCCCGCTTACAGTGCGGCCGAGCGCCGGGGTCCGGTCGGGCCAGGCGCGCCAGGATGCGCGGGGCCGGGGCGAGTGGGGGGCGGCCCCGCGGGACCCCACGGCCGGTCTGGGGTCTGGCACGGCGACGCCGTTACCTTCCGTGACCCACGGCCCCGGCCCTGGGCGGGCGCGGGCCCGGCACGGCCTCGTCCACGTGGGCCGGCGCGCGCACGCCGGGCCGGCCCCCTCCTTGGCGGCGCTCCGCGCTCGCAGCACATGGTCGGCGGCGCGCCCCCGAGGCCGGCGGAGACCGGCTGCAGCCGGTATAGGATAAGCGATACAGCGACGCGGGGCCGGGGCGCGGGCGGCGGCACGCACGGCTCGGCGCGGCGCGGCGCGGCGCGGGCGGCGGGGAGGGGGGCGGGGGGCGCGGCGCGGGGGCCCGAGGCGCGGGAGCGGGCGGGGGGGCCGGAGCCGGGCGCGGCGGGGCGGGCGCCCGGGGCTCGCCCGCCGGAGCCAACTTGCCCTAGGCTCGGGCCCACGCCCTAAGGGGTTAATCCTCTCTCGTGTTCCCGAGCGGCTTATAAGGAGGGGGCGGCCTGGCCTCCGCCTTATTGGGAGCCTTTTGGGGTTTATTCTCTTCCCTTCTAACTTGGTGAGTTGGTTTTATCATTTTACATGTTTAAAAGTTTGATGGTGGGGTGTGGGTGGGTTTTTTCTTAAGCTATGTTGGGAGCTTTTGGGGGCTGGTGGTGGGGGAGGCTGGAGGGAGGAAGAGGAAACCACTTAACTGCTTAACATTTTGGAGAGGTTATTCCCCCAAATCTTCTCTGACAGTTGGGAATGCCCGGGGCCACCGGGATGGCGCGCTCTCACCGTTTCGGGCAGCCGAGAGTTGCCTGTCGGTGGCCCGGGTACAGTCGGTGTCCGGAAAACACCTAAAGGCAGGTTTGGCCTTTGGGTGTCCCCCGGCCCAGGTGAGGGCCCCCAGGCTGTAGGGCGAGGGGGGCGCCGCGCTGAGCTCCCTGCACGGATTTTCCGCATGAAGTTGCCCGCGCGTCACAGGAGCGAAATGTCAGAGGTACCGTCCCCAGGCTCGCGCGCGCGCGCAGGGCGGCCCCGCAGACAGCGCCAGGGAAAGCGGGGTTCCCGGCCTCCCCCCGCCTGACACACGCACCCGGGGCGGCCGACGGGGAGGCAGGCATGTCCCCGCCGAGAGCAGCTCGTCCACCTTGACCGTCAGGGCTGTCAGCTGGTCCCGCTCAACTTCCAAGGTTCCCAGGGCTGCCAACCACGGGAAAGCGCCCGGGTAGCTGAGCGGCGCTGTAGCCAGGGAGGATGGTTTTGCAGAGGAAATGGGTTATTTCCTTCTGCTTCTTTTTTTTTCTTGTTTAAACCAGACCGCCACACTCTACCACAGACAGATGATAGAAGTTTGTTAGGTGGCATGTAACATGTCACCAAACACGGGGGGCGTCAGTCTTAGAGAAAAGCTCCCCGGAGCCAACCGGGGAAGAGCAAGCAATGACACCTTGTCATCCTGGAAGCTGGTTTTGTTTGCAGTTATAGACACACCGTGCCAGCTCTTTCTCAAAGGAGACGGTTTCTACCTTGGGAATGGGATTTCTCGGTAATCTTACTATTTTGCAAAGCATACTAAGTGGATTGGGTGGAGGGTCTTGTTTGCAAAAACAGTCCCAAGTGCTATGCAGAGATCTCTAAGTGATGCATCTCCCCATGTCCAAGCACCAGTCCCTGTCATGGGGGGGGGCGATCAATAATACCTCCTGCCTGCCTGGTGGATACAGAAATACCTCTTCTCCTCATTAAGAGTGTCCAAGATAGTTCCAGTATGTAAATAAACAGTGCAGCCAAGTGGAAAAGCTCCTTCTCTATGAGAACCACCAACCCTGAGTTTTCCTTCTGTGGTTTCCCAAAAAGGACTTTCCTCGGTGGAACTCCTGAGGACGACACTTAAATTAGGGGATAGTATTCTACATCACGATCTTGTAAAAGGGGGTGAATCGGTGCTCTCCAGGGATTCAGAGCAGCTGAGGCTGCCGTCCAGGTTAGGTTTGGGGGTTTTGTTGTTTTTTTTTAAAATAGAGAATTGAAGTGAGCCTCACCTAAATACAGACTGGTTTTGACAACTAGGGCTGGAAACAACTTGTCAAAAGCTGTTCTCCAGGCTACGCCTTTAAGAAGAATGGAGATTGGCAGTGGCTCGCTGAGGCTTTGTTCACACCAGCCACACCAGCAGCTGCCACCGCTGCCCATCCAGAGCCTGCATTTTGAACTTTGCTCTGATCTGACCCTGGACTGGCACCCTGATGGTCTATCATAGTCCAATATTTTGCATTCTTCATGCCTCCAGGGGACAGCTTTTCTCAAGAAGTCAAATCGCAGTTGAGAGTCCCAGCTATAGCAGATTTCCAAGCCTTGGCAGAATTCTCATTTATTTAAGATTAGACAACCAAATGCTCACAGGAAATTACTCCAAACCACCCAGTGCATTTTGTCCGTTCTGCTTCCTTTGGGAGAACATTTGGAGGAAGGCGACATGGCTGCCAGGAACCCCCGTTCAGAATCGTAGCATTTTACCCTCCAGACCTCTGTGTCTCACCCCTGCTTTTAGAGGATGAAACTTAGGAACAAAGTCATTTCCCCATGAGCATGCGGCCAGTTAATGGTAAATAGAAATTCAACAAATAACGCACGAGGGCCTCACAGAGACAGACCTGTGGACCTTGCGTCAAAGGACTCAAAAATTAATTGAGAAAGATGAAAGGGTAACTTGGAGCAAGTGGGGGTCAAAGGCCATCAGAGAAATGTAGATTTTTAGGGCAGGAAGAGATCTGAGATCGCCTCCGTCTAGTTCAACTCCCTTGTTCACCTCTTGACACTGAAAATCAAGGAGCAAGGTGATTCTCCCAAGGCCGTGGGGTCGCTCCTCGCTCGGCTCTATCCCCCACACAGTAAGCGAATATCCCATCCCATCCCATCAGAGAAATTCACATGCCCGTAAAACCAAAACATTATTTCCATGTTCTGGAATCCTTAGAGCCTTTGAAGCCACAGGCCTTTCTTTCTCTCTTTCGTTTGTAGAGGCCAACCCGTTTGTTAAGCCAGTCGTCCTGCTGAGGGGATGGTAGAAAGGAAAGAGTCCAGGGGAAGGATTGATTATGCAAGCAGAGACTTCCTCACTTGATGACTGGGCTTTAGGAGGCTAGAGCCGTGCATTGCTTCAGGAGTGCCCCAAGACGCATGCTTTGTTTAGTGAACTTTTATTGAGCACATACTATGTGCCAGGCACACGGCCAGGCACTGGGTCTGGAAAGAGCTGCCGACTGCCCTGTGTGCAAGGCGTCCTCAACCGTATGTTACAGAAACCAGGTTATTCTATTATCATTCTGCACTGTGATCTTCAAAGCTCAATATACCAGGGCATAGGATGCTTTAGGATGATGAAGGCGTAAACTTGGGAGTATCAGTGGGTTCTGGGGTGTCATCTTTCTTTTACGATGATCCCAGGAAAACAATAAAAAAGCTGTCCTCCCCAAACCTAAGAATGCAGGTGAGAGTTATATTTGGATCTAGCTTCAGGGGAGTAGCCCAGATGTAAAGTTTAAAGAAACAAAGGAATTGAACACCCAGAAGGAGCTCAGAGAGTAAACAGAAGGAAAGCAGTCGGACAGCCGCCGTCTTCGAGCCGACTGTCCTAGATCAGATGTAGCCAACGTCCGGCTCCTTTACACCCACGTCTGTAAGAACCATCTGGCACTTGCACTTTCCTCCCGGCTCCCAGGTCGCCTTGGGCCACTAGGTTTCACCTGAGCAATCAGGTGGTTGAGAACTCAGTGCTGAATAACAGAAGTGTCAGCTGCCAAAGCTGGGGGAGCTTTAAGGGTTCCCAAAGCCAACCTCTTATTTGACGAGTGAGGCACTCTGGCCCAGAGAGGTGCAGTGACTTTCTCCAGGTCACACAGTGACGCGGTGAAAGAGTCCTCACAACCTCTACAGGAAACGCCCCCTCCCTGGCCTTCAGAATGCTGTTCTGCATCCTGATACAGCGGGGCCCCGGGGAGACAGGAGATCAGATGCTGGACCATTTCGGTCCAGTCCCTTCCCCTCTCTGGGGGTCGGCTTCCCCATTTTGCAAAATGAGTGGGATTTTACAAAGAGGAGATGGACCCAGATGGGCTCCAAATCCCATTTTGGTTGTAACATTCTGTAATTCTAACTCCACCCACCCCGGGGCCTCCAGCCCCACCCATCTTGCACATTCAAACCACCAACGGCAACAGGCAAAGAAAGAGAGAGATGGGCACCCATCACCAGAACTGAAGCGCTGGCCTCGCCCAGAGCCTTCCCATAGTAGGTAACCTCGTCTTTCTACAAAAACTGCAGTCTAGTCTTGACCCTCTGAAATGCAACCCAACCAAAAGGTTCTGCACCTTGGTCCTGCAGTGCTTTTAGGCTAGAGAGGGCTTCTGTTTGTCTCTCTGGGGCCTTTATCCATTTTAGCCCAATGTGTTTTTATTCAAGTTGGCCCCGAGCCCTCTCTTAAAATGCTAAGATCTTATGGGCACCCTTCGTGCCAACGTGGCCTTGGACTTAGTCGCCACTGCTTGTCAGAAATGTCCTGAGCTCCCGGAGGACATGGCTGAATGGTTTTAAGGTGTGATGGGATTTCAGTCTTAAGGTCCCTTATCATTATCACCAACAAACAATCTCATCCGTGGAGGCAGAGGCCATCTCTGTATTGTCACTGTCGCCCCTAGCATAGGCCCTGGCACCCAGCAGTTACTTTGTTGGAAAGAATTAATTAAAGCTGTGTGCAAGGTACCTGGGCGGGGGAAGGGATGCAAAGAGAAATAGGCCCCAGATTTGTTTTCCGTGAGCTTACAATTTAACTGAGCAAATAAGGTAAATGCATACAAGTAGACAGTAGCCCATTATTAAAGGGCGCCTGTCAGGTGAAGAGAGCTCCTTAGGTCGAGTGGATCAGAGGAAGCCTTATGCGGCAGGAGGATGTGATGAAGCGGGCCCTTGCGGCGCCAGCTGTAGGGGGGCCTCCAGCCTGGGGAAGGGGCGCGCCACAGGCAAGGTGGCTGGGGAGTCAAGCAACAGAACAGGAAGAACTAAGGCTGCTGAGATCCGTGGGGGGCAGGGGCTTCCAATTAGGAAGGACTTAAAGTCAAGCTGATCTCGTGGATTTTGTCCTTCAGAAAGAGGAAAGCCACTGAAAAAGTCCGAGCAGAAAAATGTCATGACGATGAGGCATTTCAGAAAGATTAATCATACCAGACAGTTGAAAGACCAGTAAAGGAGTCTCGGGCTTCCAAGGCGAAGCTCAAAGGAGTGGCCCAGTAGGGGGGGCGAGACGGGAGGGGGACCTGAGCTGTGGACTCCCCCCCGCACTGCCCCTCCTTCCCTCCTACCCCGCTCCCTAGGGCTGAACACGGTTCCAAAGCCAACACTGGCATGTACTTTTTTTTTTTTTTCCTTCTCAATCTTAAGCCCACTACCGTTGTCAGCTCCTCTGCCCCAGGTGCCTCATCTTGGGAGCAGACTTTGAAAGTCTTAACGGAGGAGGGGGACTTGGGAAAACCTCAGCTGCTGGAGGGCTTGGGGTTCCCATGTTAAATCAGCTGCTTTCCATGTTGGGAACATGAATGACAAACTGGTCTGTAATTGTTAACCCTACACCCAGAGCCGCTTAAGTGCTCTTCCCACCTTTGCCCTCAGCTCTCAGGCATGCCACATTGACACACATCAAAATGCAGAGGCCTTTGCTGCAGGGAGCACAGCGTCTTAAAGCATCTTATGCCCTATTTATGCAACCAAATAGCCAACAGTAAGAGAGTAATAAGTGGGTATATAGTCCTTTCAGAGTACTAGGCTACCATGCTATCAATAGGCTGAACAATATGAAATTAGGTCAGATTTGCTGCTTTGTAAGAGTCTCAGAGCAAATTCCGAATACTGGATTCCCGTAGCAGAAACTGGGAAGTCTACTGTCTAGATGAGGTTTTGTCCTGTTATTTCTCAATTGCTCTCCATTTTCAATAAAACCTGCCTTCGTATGTGAACGTGACAACTCGCGGCTAGGCCATCCACGCATCCTGAAAATTCACCTGGCTACAACTGCATAGTTACAGAGAATTCTTAAACTCAAGGTGCGTTGCCATTAAGAGCGCACAGACCACAGACTCATTTGTTATTTATAGGTATTAATTTTTAGTTGGGTTAAAAACACACATGACTGTTTCAAAGTGTATGTAATTGCAGAGGTTTTGAAAATGTCTGCGTTTTATGTGCTCGAGCCTGCCGCGAAAGACTTAAACGACCCTGCCTCCAGTGTTAAATATAGTTTCCCCTTAGTGGTGATACGGCACAGGGATCTGATGTTCTGATGTTTGTTGCAACCTGAATGGAAAAGCATAGCAAGGTCAGGAGTAATTTGGTTTAAGTTCCCTGGCTGTCCAGACCCCACAAATTGGTAGTGCCGTATTTGGTCACTATATCCTAGAGTACTGGTCCTGCGTGGAAAAATTCCATTTCTCATACACCACGTGGCGACCGACTTTGAGGACCTCATTCATGCTAAACCAACACCAAGAAGACAGAATCCCCAAATTTTAATTTGCAGTCACATTCCGTTCACATAGGTACAGCCATATGGGACCCCAGACCATAATCAGAATGTTGCTGAGTAGGAGGTAGGATGGTCTGAATGACCAGGGGCACCAAGCAGAGATGCAGGATTTCTCCAGCACTTAGCTGCCCCTGCAAAGTGGCCTCTGAGCCTCTCTTTGCCGAGGCTTCATTTCTGATCCACATTCCTTACAGTCAATTCAGTCTTCCTTTACCTAACTTGTCTTCAGGTTCAAGGTCTCCACTGATCCTTGGTCTGGTGGCCATTCTTTGTCCTCCAAAGTGCCTCTAAATATTCTGCCCAGGCTCTTTATGTTTTTTTTGGTTAGTTTTTCCATTTAACTGCCATAGCTTGGAAGTCTGCCTTCCCAAAATCTTTCGCGGCTCCATATAGTTCATTAGATAGATAAGACGGATAGATGATAGATGACAGAGACAGATAACGATAGATATAAATGTGATGAGAGATAAAAGATGACATAGATGTATAGATAGATAGATACTATTCTTCAGAGACTTCATACTAACCTCACATGATTTAAATATTCATCAACCTAAGAAATGTAGTGAGTAGTTCTTATCTGTTGAGTGTTAGAATCGTCCACCCTCATGCCATTGCTGGTCTAATTTTTTTTTTTTTAACTTTTTCTTTTAGATTAAGAATGACCCAAAAGAAATCACAGCTTTGTTCCAGAGCCAATGTTTATACTCAAGTGCCTGATGGAGGATGGGGCTGGGTGGTAGCTGTTTCTTTTTTCTTCGTTGAAGTCTTCACCTATGGCATCATCAAGTCATTTGGTGTCTTCTTCAATGACTTAATGGACAGTTTTGATGAATCCAATAGCAGGATCTCATGGATAATATCCATTTGTGTGTTTGTCTTAACATTTACAGGTTAGTACATCTTCCAGCTTAAGCGCTACATAAGCATATGCCTCTTTCAGTCTGCCTAATTATGTAAGAGGCGCTGAAGGAAAAAGTCTACTTGCCAGACTTGACTGCCTTCATTTAATGCACACGTATTAAACGCCTACTGTATGCACTCTCTTAGGATACTGCAGATTATTTTGAGGACAATAGCAAACCCCGGTTCAATGGGAATGTGGTCATTTCCTAAAGAAGCATTAAAAGTTCTTGGCATCCTGGGTCCTGGTCTCGTAAAAACATGCTGAGGAAACAGGTTGGGAACATGAAAATGTGACTACATGAAGGAGAAAGAAGGAAGGTGTAAAAGGGTATATGGGAAAACTACCCATATTGCCCAGAGAGGATATTCTGAATTCCAAACACCTGTTTCCCTAAAGGACTTCACTGGCTAATCGGTCTGCCCAGCTCCCAGATCCAACAGCATCAGATGAATGGGACTGTAGTATAATTCCTTACATACTCATTTTCACTTGGTCCCATTCAGACCTAATTCAGCACATCTCTGAGGTCTCATGACTGTTCATCCATCTGTCAGGGGCCGCGCCAGGGTCGTCTGAGAAAGCAAGGCCGTTGAACTTACCGCGGACAGTTAACGGGGCTGAACTTCAGCTTCCCTAACTTTACCCTAATATCCTGTCACGGAACCATTGCCTCTGAAGTTTTCTAAGCCTGTCTTTAAAGGTACTTAGTTTTCAGCCCTATACTGTCTCACAAAGGTAGCTCCATTGTTCTTTGCTACCGAGTAAAGTCAGAATTTCTCCCGTTAGCCCTGATACCCTCTCCTACACGGTTCATGGAAGTACTTCTAGTTCCGGTTTGAGTATTAAGATACTTAATTTCTTAATTGGCAGGATGTTTACTTTCTTGGAAAGATAACTTACATGAATTAGAACCAAAATTTTACATTTGGTAACCAAAATAAAACGAAAATCCCAAAGCTGAACTTTTAGCCGTTTTCTAACCAAAGATAATATAGTCAACAAGAAATTTCCAGCTAATACTATTATACCAGAAGATAATTGTTCTTCATGCTGTTATTCCAGTCATTAATGCCTTGAGTCTACACACTGCCTAAAAATGATCCTAGTGATTCCATTATTTGCTATATTAATATATTAGTTTACATTCAACTCACATAATAGGTATGCACCAACCCCAACAAAATTTACTCCTTTTTTAGCTCTTTCTATCCAGCATGTACGATGTTGTTCTTCCTCCCCCCAACTCTGGAGGGTTCCCTTATCTCATTGTACTCAAGGCGGTATCAGTGGGAGCCTAAGTAGCATCTAACTAGGAAGCTCATCTTCCAGATTTAAATGTCCCAGAGGATTCAGAGCACAGAAGCTACGCCAACTGTAATTCATCAGCCACTTTGAACTATCTGTCCCATAGCTAGCCTCCTTTTGGTATGCATAACAGAATTCACCATACTTTCATACCATTTGCAAAAAAGTCAAATGGAACTTAGCTGGAATTTGACCCTAACCGGAGCCTTTTAAAAAAGAATCCAAAGCAGTGAGTATAGAAAAAAAAAAAAAAAAGTGCCTCGTACAATCATAGGAAAAGCCCATTTTTATTACAGAATAACAAATTTAATGCATATCCAATTTTATAGGGGCTCCTGGTGAGTCAAAATCTTTCATCGGAGACAAAAGATATGTTTTATACTATGACTCTTGATTTCTCTTCAAGAAGCCCCCAAAATATATTGTCCAGCTTGTGCAAATAGTAAAATAAGTCCTGAACTGACTTAAGGAACCATTGCACAAAATGTATACTGTATCTTACATCATCACCTCCATGTTAAAGGCTTAAAAGATGGAATCTTACCACAGACTCACGTACACAGAGAACAAATGTGTGGTTCCCGAGGGGGAGGGGGAGGGAGAGGGATGGGGTGGGTGGATGGGGTGAGCAGGTGCCAGTGAGTGTATACCGGATGGAGAAACACCAAGGCCCCACTGTGTAGCACAGGGAACTGCATTCTACATCCTGGGATAAACCGTACGGGAAAAGAATAGTTTTAAAACACGAGTGTATATACATGTACGTATCACTGAATCACTCGGCCGTACGCCTGAAACTAACACAACGTGGTAAACCAACTACACTTCACTAAACGTTAGAAAACGTAAAATTAAACAAGACGGAATCTTAGGGTATATGTAGAGCTGATTCACTCTGTTATACAGCAGAAACTAACACACCATTGTAAAGCAATTAAACTCCAATAAAGATGCTAAAAAAATTTTTAAAAGAAGGAGTCCTAGGGAGGCTAAGGCTTTTTCGCCTCTGGGAGCTGAGACCCTGTTTTGCTCTTGCTGCAGCTCCTGTGTCCACCGTCCTGAGCATTGGGTTTGGACACCGTCTGGTGGTGATGGTCGGGGGGCTGCTGGTCAGCGTGGGCATGGTGATCGCCTCCTTCTCACAGAAGGTCTACCACATGTACATTGCCATCGGCATCATCTCTGGTAAGTGCTTCTCCTGGGCTCGCTCATTCTCCAGAGACTTAGCTTCTAGAACAATGCCGGGGGGAGGGGGGGCGGGTAGGGAATCAAATCCAAAGTGTGTTTCTTTCTCCCTTTCTCTCTTTTCTTTAAAATTAATAATGTCCCAGATCAGTGGTTTTGAACTGGTCTGTATGGGCTCCAGGGTGTTCCCCTGGGAACCTCTCCTCAATCAATGCCCAAGACTTTTTGTCTGATTTTTTTTTTTTTTAATATTTACCAATGAGAAAGAGAACTTCTCTTTTGTGATAGTTTGCAGCCCAAAGACATCATTTTCACAACGTTTGCGTTTCTTTAGCTGAGATTTCCCAAGTCAGGCTGTGAGGACCCTGAGCTGTAGGGGAGGGTCTGTGCCGGACTTATTCTTCGGGGTCTGAGAAAAATTTTTCCCTTTCAGAACACTTTAAATCTTTTCATATGTTTCTACACATACCAAAACTCATTTATTTCCAAATAGAAGTCTTAAATAAAAACTATATTCGATAAGAGTTCTGTCCACTGTGGATTATATAAATTGGGGGGAAAAACATTGCAGAAAAGTACGGAAAAAAACCAGAGAACAGGTTTTTTTTTTTAACTCCTAGCTTTCCAAAACAGCTCTTGCAGTTTCTCCAGACCTCTGACGAAACCTGTTTTGTTTTTTTTTTGCTACAGCACTATTTTCCAGAATGAATTTCTGGGCTCCCAGAACTTATCATTTTAAATATGAACACAAAACCCCCAGATCTTTGAATGCATTCTTCTGGCATCAATGAGGATGTGGTCCTTTCTATCGTTTTTGACTTTCCATCACAGGTCTGGGATACTGCTTTAGCTTTCTCCCAACTGTCACCATTCTGTCACAGTACTTTGACAGAAGACGCTCTGTGGTCACGGCTGTTGCTTCTACAGGAGAATGTTTCGCTATGTTTGCTTTTGCACCAGGTAAGTGGACAACTACAGTCTACGTGTTCACGTGAACTAGCTCTTCTTGCTACACTGACTCTTGCCAACCGTCAGTTAATAGACTGACAGCTTCGACTGCGTGCAGAAGGAGAGGTTAATTGTCTTCTCTTCTCCAGCACAGTTTCAGGATCTGTCTTCCCTAACCCCGATTTTAGGAATTCAAACATTTTCATACTGGTCCAAGTTTACATAAATAGGAATATACAATGGCACATATTCAGTGGTAAGGCTTGAAACAGCCATTCCAAAATACATGATTTAATGATTTCGGATTGTTCCTATTATTCTATTTCTCTCCTTGGTCAAAAGAGCCATATTCAATGCGGATTTAAACTGTGCTAGTAAAGTCCCTTTCGTGAATGGTGTGTGGATAATCTCACAGGGAGTTTTTTTTTTTTTTTTTGCGGTACGCGGGCCTCTCACTGTTGTGGCCCTCTCCCGTTGCGGAGCACAGGCTCAGTGGCCATGGCTCACAGGCCCAGCCGCCCCGTGGCACGTGGGATCTTCCTGGACCGGGGCACGAACCCGCGTCCCCTGCATGGGCAGGTGGACCCCCAACCATTGCGCCACCAGGGAAGCCCTCACAGGGAGATTTTTATCCCTGGTTTATTTCCCTATCTTAACGAGAACCTGTGAATTTCAGTAGCCAGTGGTAGACAAATCACCTTAGAGACTTAGATTAACCTCTTACTCTGCCATTTCTTGGTGAATGTGTCAGTGGATCATGGCGGATTTGTTCAAAGGAGATACATGTAGTAGTATTTAGGGGTGACGTGTCTTATCTGAAGCTTTTCAGATAGTTCAGAAAAATTAATGTATGCTTGCCTATAAATAGGCAGACAGAGAAAAATGTTAGCTGTTGAAATTTGCTGAAGTGTGGGCAGGCAGATAGATATCATTCTTCGCACTTTTCTGTCCGTTTGAAATTTTTCAGAACAAAACACTGAGGGGAGAATCAGTGGCCTGTGAACGCCCTGAAGGTAGAAACTGCATCTTGGTTGGCTTTGTTCCCTAGCCCATCCCTGGCACCTGGTAGGCAGGCACTCGAGGAATGCTGAGTTGGAGCAAAGAAGAGCAGACCGATCATTGCCAGAGGAGGGTCAAGCACTTTGAAATACCCAAGCCTGAAAGATTTTGCAATTCTGAGTTTCCCATATTAACAGGGGGAGAAGAGGTGTGAGCAAAGCATGCTACGACAGTAAATGGAGACCCCGTGCCCTGGAATTCGGGGCTGTCTTGCTAAGCTGATCTTCTTTCTCGGGAACCAACTTACCATGTCTCTTATACCTGACTGTCAGCTCTCAGAGAATGAGAATCTAGTGAAATGAAATTCTAATGAACATCATTTCACCTCTGTGGGATGATGACGGAAATTCCTGAAGGTCTCGTGGGGCCTGCATTATCCTCTTGTAACTATGGGTCCTGAAGCCCCCTTTGGCCTGACACCACCCAACCCCCAGAGGACCCCAGCCAGGGCCCAGTCCCCCCCTCCAGGCTGCCTCTGGGCTGGCAGGAAGGTAGTTAGAACGTTCCACAAAGCAAGCGGAGAACTGTAGCAATACTGCACAGGACCGTACTGTATCCACACAGTAACTGTCTTAATTCCAGGATAATCCTATGAGCTTTTAGATACTTCGTTTATCCTCTCCTTCATCTGTTACTACTAAGGGTTGAAGGAGTGGATGGAGAACGATCTAGCTCAGAGGGTGGAAATTCTGTCTTGAAGAGGCCAGAGGGGAAATATTTCAGGCGTCACGGGCCAAGTCCTTGTGGGATCCACTCCTCTCTGTGGTGACAGCACAGAAGCAGCCGTAGACGACATTAAAGAATGATCTCGGCTGTGTTCTAGTCAAGGTTTATCATCCAGTAACAGGCAGCGGGTTGGATTTGGCCCGCAGACGGCTGTCTGCCGAACCTCGATGTGGGTCACGGACTTGGTTCATCTCGAGTCTCTGCCTGGCGGAAGGCACCCACCAGAGGTCTCTCAGAGGCCTGGGCTGAAAATGTGTATCTCTGCTCATCCTTATGCACCTTCCTCCTTCTCGAGTCCTAAAAGCCCCCAAAACCTAGAAGAAAAGGGTAGTGCCTGTCGACCGCATTCGCACGGCCAAGTAACTTTTGTTTACCTGTTTCCTGGTCTGCGTTTCTTCTCGCTCCCCCCCACCCCCGCCCCCAGTCTTGAGTTGGTTTCTGACCTTGGCTTTTCTTTCTCCTTCGCTCCTGCCCACCCAAGCCATCACGGCCCTGAAGGAGACCATCGGCTGGAGGTACAGCCTCCTCTTCGTGGGTCTCCTGCAGCTCAACCTCGTGGTCTGCGGGGCGCTGCTCAGACCTATCATCATCAGAGGACCCGGGACCCCCAAAACCACCGCCCACGAAAGTCGGAAAGAAGTGCAATACATGCTTGAGAACGAGAAAACCCGCACCTCGATAGATTCCATTGACTCAGGAGTAGAACTAACTACCTCACCTAAAAACGTGCCTGGTCACACGACAGTAGAGCTCGAGCCCAAGGCCGACCTGCAGCAGATCCTGGGCCAGCCCGGCTCCAAGCCCGGCTGCCAGAAGGCCCCGCTGCTGGACTTCTCCGTTTTGAAAGAGAAAAGTTTTATCTGCTACGCGTTTTTTGGTCTCTTCGTCACCCTGGGGTTCTTCGCCCCGTCCTTGTACATCATTCCCTTGGGCCTCAGTCTGGGCCTGGACCGGGACCGCGCTGCTTTCTTATTATCAGCGATGGCGATCGCAGAAGTGTTCGGGAGGATCGGGGCTGGGCTGGTCCTGAACAGAGAGCCCATCCGCAAGATCTACATCGAGCTCATCTGTGTCGTCTTACTGACCGTGTCCCTGTTTGCCTTTACTTTTGCCACTGAATTCTGGGGTCTCATGTCCTGTAGTGTATTTTCCGGGATTATGGTTGGGACGGTGGCGGGGACCCACATCCCGCTGCTCGCTGAGGACGACGTCGTGGGAATCGAGAAGATGTCTTCAGCGGCTGGCGTCTATGTCTTCTTCCAGAGCATCGCAGGACTGGCTGGACCGCCACTTGCAGGTAAGTTAAATACACAAAGTAAAACCCTTGTCTGCTATCCTTTTACAATATTTTACTTTTCCACGATGGTCTATCCCAGGATATTGAATATAGTTCCCTGTGCTCTACAGTAGCAGCTTGTTGTTTATTCACCCTGTATCTAATAGTTTGCACCTGCTAACCCCAAACTCCCACTCCATCCCTCCGTCATCCCCCTCCCCCTTGGCAACCACAAGTCTGTGAGTCTCTGTTTCGTAGATGAGTTCATCTGTGTCACAGTTTAGATTCCACCTGTAGTATACTGTCCTTTTATTAATAGTGCCAGCTTCCTATTCAAGTCGAATGGAAAATAAAACTGTTGATTTTTATACTTGCAGAGAATTTTAGAGGTGTCGGGATAGAGGTTACCCGAGCCACCTCTCTTGACTTAAATATGAGGAAAGTGAAAGCCAGAGAATGTCAGCGTACAGCCCAATGGTAAATCAGTGACCAAGTCAGGATTAGAACCTGGGTCTGCAGCCCAAGCTGCACGGGCTTTTTCTACCAGTTGGCCTTGAAAAATGCTCGCAGCGGGGGCGGGGAACGCTTGGATTTCTGACCTCATTACCCTCTGACTTTTGGGATAACAGAACTAAGGGTCTTCTGTAAGCCAGCTTCCCGTCTAGGGAGGGGTTTTAGGGAACTGAACCTAGAACAGCACTCTGCAGAGCACTTCACTAATCACTACAGAGTATTTCCCTGTCGGAAGGACATGGCTTTGTTTTACATGTTAGCCCTGAAATAAGTCCTTGAGGTTATTGTGATTAGAAATCTTACCCCATGTGAAAAGATACCTGAAGTGAACTCGAGTGAAAATAAAAGAGCTCTTTCCTCTTAGGAGAGGATGTCAGCTTTCCAAAGGAGTGGGCATCTCACCATTCCCAAGTTTCAGATCAGCCCACAAAGAACATCTGAGTGACAGAATTTTCTCAGGTGCTAAGTAGGTTGTACGTTTGTCTACATCTTCTCTCCCGTCTAGAAAAGACTCCTACCTTCCACGTGCTTTTTTCTTAAAAACAAACAAACAAAAAACAGACAAAACAAGGAAGGCAAAGAGCCTGAGAAGTGGCTGAGTTTGGGGGAGCCTGGGGGGGGGTCTTTGTGGCTAATGTGCTGACGCTCCCGCAGGGCTTCTGGTGGACCAGAGCAAGATCTACAGCAGAGCCTTCTACTCCTGCGCGGCTGGGATGCTTGTGGCCGCTGTGTGCCTCGCCCTCGTGAGACCCTGTAAAAGGGGGCTGTGCCGCCGTCCCCAAGCCGGGGAAGGGAAGGCCGAGAGTCACCGTGGGAAAGCTTTACAAGACATCCCAGAAGACTTTCTTGAAATGGACCTGGGGAAGACTGAGCACAGAGCTCCTATGAAAACGGAGCCCGTGTGACACGCTTGTCATTCACACCAGCCTCCCTGGGGGCTGGAGAGGGTGGGGGACAGGGGACCCAGGGCAGCAGAGATGTGGACCACCCACCCACTTTCCAGACTACACTCTAAAGGGAATGTATGCGTGAACACCACTACCAACATCCTTTTTTTTCTTGTAAGTTTTCCTTTTCGCTTGTTTTTTAAGCCAAAACAAAAACCACCGAACACCCTTTCCGTACATCACCCTGGCTGTATTCAGTAGCAATACGAAGATACACAGGACTCTCGGGTTCGCATTCCGGTTTTAAAAGAGTGACATGAATTGGCAAAGTGGTTTTAAGAGCTCTCACATGTGATAAACTACTATCTTGGAAAAGGACATCTGGCCGAGGCCACTGCAATGAAATTGGCCATTACAAAAAAAAAAAAAAAAAAACTTACATCATTTAAAACATTTCTCATTTTCAGAAATATGAACAAATTGTTTAAAACCCTTTGAAAAATACTGAGGTCTCCATTAACAAATTAGGGCCTCTGAATTTTCCACATAGTTCATGGAAATGAAGTACAGTTTGAGACCAAACATTTGGCTAGTAAACGGAAATTTTTAAAATATATGTAACTTGAACTTCATAAATGTGAAGATGACCACTTTTTTATGGCCAGTCACTACCAGAAGCATTTCGATACAGAACACACAGCACAGCATTCAAAAATGTGTTTCCTATTGCTTTTAATTATTCAGAAATATGTGATTGTAGTGTCTTTAATTTAAACCGCTATTTATTATTAAGTTATTCTAGAATGAATAAAGAAATCAAAAGAAAGAAAATCTGAGACATAAGCAGAATTTCTGCCCCCTTTCTGCAATCCTTTACATGCCTCAAAGAATACTTCTTAACTTGTAAAGTGACTCTCGTAAAAGGCCAAGTTTAAGGATTCTTCAGTTTGATTAACGACAACGTGCGTCATTTCAAGGGGGGGACGACGATGAGTAGCAAATCGCCTTAGCTTTTTTAAATGATTTGTTTTATCACCTAAGAATACTTGAGGATCTTCTTTGATCAGAATTATATTTCATTGAATTGTTGAAGCATTTCTGATTTTTTTTTTTAATCTCACCGTTGAAGCATTTCTGTATTTCACGTGGGACAGCAGAGACATTTATTTTACCATCATGAGTTATATCATATAAACCCTGATTGCTCTACGTTACCAGAGTTATCGGGTTAACTGGTCACTGGGTTTTTTTTGGAGTTACATTACATGTATAGTATTTCTCATGTGCACATTTTTCTGTAAAAGGGCAAGTATGAGGGTAACAGGTTGGCTACGTACTCATAATGTCCTGAATCTCACTCTACAGGTGATGGTCAGTACCGCTGCTCCATCTTTATTCATTTACTGTTAATTTATGACAACTCAGGGGGAAAAAAAATATAACAAGCCTAGTTTGGTTACAGGTACACACAAGCTTGAATATTTCTCTGCACTGAAATGAAAGTGGCATAGTTCATCACCACCTGCTACGTTTCTGTACAGTGTTTGATCAGCCATAGAAATAGGACAATCTGTAAAACTTTGGGGAGGGGCTGGGGAGGAAATGACAACGTGTCTGTCAAAAACAGACGCACCTAGAACAAGCTGGATGTAGCAAATCTCTGTCACTACCAGAGAAGGACTTGGAGCTTGTGGCACTTTTGCAGACTTCATGACTTCAGCACTTTACAGTCTTTTTTACTATGAATGTTCAATACAACTTAATATTTATATCTGGTTTCAGAGCGATCTGCTTAAGACGTCCATTCTGTTAATTGCATGGAAAATAAAATGTATGCCGGTTTCAGTATGTCAGTAATCAAGGTTTTAAATATTTGGCAGAAAATGAAAACAGGATTGCTGATTTGTTCTGTATTCTGTGACATTCTGGTACTTCTAGATTTGCAATAAATGTATGGCTTTTTTATTTAAAGAAAGTGACTCGGTTTTTTATTGACTCCTTGGCGTTCATTGTTGGATCCAGTTAAAGTTATAAAAACTCAAGGAAGATTCATGTCAAATAACGTTTTTAAAAGCTTTTGTGCAAAATCTTTTAACTGCACTAGAGACACATAAACGTTTCCAAGACGTGTTAGTTGAACATCATTATTTCATAAATGAAAAATAAATGAATGGGGACTTCCCTGGTGGTCCAATGGTTAAGACTCCACACTCCCAATGCAGTGGGGCACGGGTTCGATCTCTGGTTGGGGAACTAAGATCCCACATGCCACACAGCATGGCAAAACATTAAAAAATAAATGAATGAAATGATATCCTGGTGGCCACAGAGAGATAGCTCAGCCTATCAAAAGTAATAAGTGAAAATAGTTAAGACTAACCATACGTAGTTACAGAACAGGCCTAAGAACTGCTCTAACCTGTAAGTAAACAGCACGGACTTTCCATGCCAGGGGTCTGCAAAATCTTTTTCTGTAAAGGTCCAGATAGTAACTATTTAAGGCTTTGCATGCCACACAGGCTTGGTCACAACTATTCAGCTCTGCCTCTGTAGGGCACAAACAGCCATAGACAAAATGTAAATGAATGAGCATGGCTGTCTCAATAAAAGTTTATTTTTGGATACTGAAATTTGAATTCCATAAAATTTTCACACACTATGAAATATTGTTGATTTTTTTCAGCCACACAAAAATGTAAAAATCATTATTAGTTTGCAGGCGGTCAAGAAAAGTCGGCAGTGAACTGGATTTGGCCTGTGGGCCCCACTGATCAGACAGGTACCACCAGTAGCAAAACTGTAAACTAGCTGTCCTGACTGATGGGAAAGGATCATCGTGGCCAAAGTGACCCTTAGATCACAGGTGCCAAAGATAGGAAAGATCAAACAGCTGCTAGCACATTATCAGGTTTCATTGCCTGTGATTAAAGAGATTTGGCTTCCGCGTTACTGACGAAATAATTTCACTACAAATGTAGACCACTTCCCTTCCCAAAATAAAATCATTCCAGTTGTAAAAATGAGACAAGATCATGTGTTCTTTTAAGACAAATGCATCCTTAACAGATAGAATGTTTCCAAGCTTTTGAACCAGGTTATCAATTTTCGACTCCAATAACGTGTAGGGTAGCTTTTGTACATTTATTTGCCTTTCCTTTCACTCAATACCTGGTGATAAAATATAGATTCTAACTCAGAGTTCCGTGGCCGAGTCATCCATTCAAGTCACTTGAGGTATTTATTACATTTAGATTTCTTTACTTCTCAAATATTATAAATCAGAAACGATCATGAATCCCTTCCTTTTTTTTTCTCTTCTTGGCCGCAACGCACTGCGCGGCTTGCGGGATCCAGTTCCCCGACCAGGATTGAGCCCAGCCCACGGCAGTGATAGCACCGCATCCTAACCACTAGGCCACCAAAGAAGTCCCATGAATCCTTATTTTTAAAAGCTCCCAGATATGGGGTTCACTAATACGCCTAGAATTTAGAAGCCACTGCCCTTAAAATTTTAAATGGTTATGAGCATTCATTAAAACGACCAATTTAAAGACAATTCAGACATGGTACACGCTAAAAGATCACTCCTATAAGTATACATCGCACTGCAAAACGAGAAGCTGTCCTGGGTTTCAGGTTTATGGTTAATACAGGGGAGGCCTACAGTCTCCAACAGGTGGGCCAGACGCTGTTGCATAAGTAAGGAAACTAGCTCCCCCTGGTGTTCAGTGTCTGTCATGACCGCCTGAGGGTGCTGAACAAGAAAAGTGCCAAGGTCAGGAACTTGCAAAATTTCGTTTTTCACGTACGAAAAACTCTCACGGCCAAATCACAATGACCACAGTGACTATAGATCTCCTAGAGGGGAAATGGGACAGCAAAACTGATACCCCAGAACACTTTATCTATAAAGGCTTTTAAAATATGGTTCACCCAAGGTTATGGGAAAAAAATACAAATTGTTGTGGCCATGAATTTATATTATGTATCTACCTTTCCGGCAACTCAAGAAGAGAACAAGCACGCTAACCATCCTAGCAACTTACTCCCCTAGAATTCGACCCAAACTCTACCTTCTCTACACTGGGGACTCTCTTGCTAAGTCCCCACTTCACTGCGGGTCTCCCGACTGTGTGAGGGCAGCAGGGCCATCCTAACCTGTCCTCAGCAGAAGCCTGATCCTCTCCCCACATCCTACCGGCTCTGCTTGCTAAATATATCCAGAACCTGACTGCCTTTGCCAACTCCGCCAGCAGCCCTGGTCCGAGTCAATGTCATCTTCGCTCCATCACTGCAATCGTCTTACAGCAGGTTTGCCCACTTCCGCTCTCGCCACACATGTACCCCAGCCCACCCTGGCCTTCGTTTTCCAGACAGAAGCCTTATAACAATCCTTTTAAAGCATGAGTTGTACACGACCACATGCCCAAGTCTAGTACTTTCTGCCCGGCTCTTACTGCACCTGCTTTATTATTGTTCCTTGAAATCACACGCCTCAGGCCTTGGCATCTGTGGTTCCCTTTGCCTGGTCCCGCTTCCCTGAGATGTGCACATGACATGAGCCTTCAATTTGGTCCCCCCCGCAAAAGTCACCCCCCTGAGGAGGCATGCGTGAATATCCTATCCAAAACAGCACTTGTTTCTACCCCTTTACTCTGAGGTTATAAAAGTATTGTTTACTCACTTATTATCATTAAGGCATAGCAGTTTTTTGCTCACCGCTATATCCCCAAAGCTTTGAGCAGGGCCTGGCACATTGTAGGTGATGCTCCAAAAAAAATGGATGAGTTAATGAGTGCCTCATTTTTCATTAACATTTTCCAGAGGAAAAAAAAAAAGGTACCTATTTACGATTACACTCAAGAGTCTGGTGCTTCTGCGAATCAGCTCGACGGCCTGAAAGCACGGTGCTCAAAACCTGCTGGTCCCAGGCTCGTCCCGCATTCTGTACCCCTCCCTCTCCCCTGCTTGAGTGAGTCAGAGCCCCTTAATCAGCGGCTCCTTTAACCCCGTCCTGTCTGAGCGAAGAACAGACGCCCTCAGGCGACCTACACGCACAGGAGAGGCCAAATCCAAAGCTGAGCCCTAGGAGCTGTACGAACAAAGAAGAGAAAGGGAAATCTCTCCCAGCAGCCTCGGGAGCAGTGGATTAAATCTCCACAGTCAACCCGATGTACCTGCATCTGGGGAATACCTGAATGGACAACGAATCAACCCAACATTGAGGCGGTAGACCTTGGGAGCAGCGGTAGACTTGGGGTTTGCCTTCTGCATATGATTTGTTTCTGGTTTTATGTTTATCTTAGTTTAGTATTTAGAGTTTATTATCATTGGTAGATTTATTGATTTGGTTACACTCTTTCTTTTTTTTAATATTTATATATATTTTTTCTTTTCCTCTTTTTGTGAGTGTGTATATGTAACGCTTCTTTGTATGATTTTGTCTGTATAGCTTTGCTTTTACCATTTGTCCTAGGGGTTGTTCTTAGTATAGTTTTTGGTGCTTGTTATCATTGGTGGTTTTGTTTTTAGGTTTGGTTGCTCTCTTCCTTCTTTCTTTTATTACTTTTTAATTTTAATTTTTCAGTTTTTTTATTTTAATAACTTTATTTTTTTCTTTCTTTCTTTCTCCCTTTTCTTCTGAGCCATGTGGCTGACAGGGTCTTAGTGCTCCGGCCCGGTGGCAGCCTGTACCTCTGAGGCAGGAGAGCAGAGTTCAGGACATTGGTCCACCAGAGACGTCCTGGCGCCATGTAATATCAAACAGCGAAAGCTCTCCCAGAGATCTCCATCTCAACGCTAAGACCCAGCTCCACTCAACGACCAGCAAGCTACAGGGCTGGACGCCCCATGCCAAACAACTAGCAAGACAGGAACACAACCCCACCCATCAGCAGAGAGGCTGCCTAAAATCATAATAAGGTCACAGACACCCCAAAACACACCACCAGATGTGGTCCTGCCCACCAGAAAGACAAGATCCAGCCTCATCCACCAGGACACAGGCACCAGTCCCCTCCACCAGAAAGCCTACACAACCCACTGAACCAACCTTACCCACTGGGGACAGACACCAAAAACAACGGGAACTACGAACCTGCAGCTTGCAAAAAGGAGACCCCAAACACAGTAAGATAAGAAAAATGAGAAGACAGAGAAACACACAGCAGATGAAGGAGCAAGATAAAACCCACCAGACCTAACAAATGAAGAGGAAATAGGCAGTCTACCTGAAAAAGAATTCAGAGTAGTGACAGTAAAGATGATCCAAAATCTTGGAAATAGAATGGAGAAAATACAAGAAATGTTTGACAAGGACCTAGAAGAACTAAGGAGCAAACAAACAATGATGAACAACACAATAAGTGAAATTAAAATTCTCTACAAGGAATCAACAGCAGAATAACTGAGGCAGAAGAACAGATAAGTGACGTGGAAGATAAAATAGTGGAAATAGCTACCGCAGAGCAGAATAAAGAAAAAAGAATGAAAAGAATTGAGGACAATCTGAGACACCTCTGGGACAACATTAAACGCACCAACATTTGAATTATAGGGGTCCCAGAAGAAGAAGAGAAAAAGAAAGGGACTGAGAAGATATTTGAAGATATTATAGTTGAAAGCTTCCCTAATATGGGAAAGGAAATAGTCAATCAAGTCCAGGAAGCACAGAGAGTCCCATACAGGATAAATCCAAGGAGAAACACGCCAAGACACATTTTAATCAAACAATCAAAAATTAAATACAAAGGCAAAATATTAAAAGCAGCAAGGGAAAAACAACAAATAACATACAAGGGAATCTCCATAAGGTTAACAGCTGATCTTTCAGCAGAAACTCTGCAGGCCAGAAGGGAGTGGCAGGTCATATTTAAAGTGATGAAAGGGAAAAACCTACAACCAGGATTACTCTACCCAGCAAGGATCTCCTTCAGATTCCACAGAGAAATTAAAACCTTTACAGACAAGCAAAAGCTAAGAGAATTCAGGGCCACCAAACCAGCTTTACAAC